AGTAGCAATTTAATATACTTTTTATTTAGGGCGATAAGGATACACGTGATAACTTTTAAAATTGAGAATAATTGCCTCTGGGGAGTGAAATGGTTGGGGAACAGGCCTGGTGCATTGAATTCCTGTTTTTCACAATGGCTTTATAGAGCTATTTGCATGGATGACTGATACATTTTAAGAGATTAAAAAAAAATGATTCCTGTAACACTCAGATGCCACCACACTGGCTTCACTTCTCTTGCTTATTTTCCCTCCTGTGTAGGACAGAGCATATCTGGCTCAGGAGTCTTTGAGATGTACATACAGAGTTTGCAACTGGGCATCCACTGGAAGGACGGTGGCAGGTAACAGGGAGTGGAGGGGAGGTTTCTGGAGGCACCTGAAACTCCTTGAGCGGAAGTGATTGGCAGAGATCACAGCTGGCCTGTTAAGTCATTTGCAACAGGGTTAAGGGGCAGTCCCCTCTTTGATCTTTAGTAACAGTGCTAAGCAGCCAATTGAAAGGACTTTTAGACAGAGCTCTAAATGGAAGTCTACAAGTATTACGGGTTTACAAGCCTTTTGTGTCAATAATGTGAATTTTCTCATTGTGAAAAAGCACACACAGCTCTTGGTGTGATGGGACCAATAGTCCACAGTCCCAGGTTATTTGCCTCCAAGAGGGGAAAAATTGGTAAATACACGATGAGCATTAAGCAGGCTTCAGGACTGTAATTCAGAAATGTGGCAGAGAGTCTCCTGATCCACCCACTGTCCCTTCCCTCACTGTACCTCAATCTCTCATCTCACCATCCACAATTGACCCAAATCCTTGCTCCAAACCCAGAGGAAGAGGAACTCCTAAGGATTGAGCTTTCCACGCATGAGCTGATCCCACCTCATCTCTGAATCCTGCCTTACAGTAAGGGAGGGGGGAGGAATTTGTGTGACCTTGACCAGATTTACCCAACCGAGGATGGCTGGGCCTGAAGACAAGAACAAATACAATTTGACTATCACCTTCAGATAACTTTCCTTTTCTTTCTCTCCTTTTTATTCCTTTTGGTAAGGCAAATTTCTACGGTTAAGAATTTATAAAAAGTTGGCAGAATTCACTGTATTAAATTTTAAAACTTAGATCTCAGTCAAAGAAAAATATAGCCAAGATAAAAAGAGCAAATAGGCTAAAAAATCATTTGCATCAAATATGACAATATTAATATCTTTATAAAGAATTCATCTGAATTGCTTAAAAATATAAGACACTATTAAGGATAAGTATTGGAAAGGAAGGGAGGAAATATGTTAATAGATAAATAGGTCATTTACAATAGATGAACCATAAACAAACGTGGTAAAAAAATTAAACTACTAATCAAACAAACATAAGTAAAAACAACAATGAAGTAACATTTGTTGCATATGAAATTAGCTAAACGTATAAGATGACAGCACCCAATTTTGAGACGAATATGGTGACAGTTGTACTCATTGATAATAGCTGGTGGGCACTAAATTAGGATAACCTTTTTTGAATGCAATTTGGTGATATGGATCAAGAATCTAAAAAATGGACGTCCTTTGAGCTAAAACTTCGCTATTGAAAACCTTTGTTTAGAAAATATTTCAAAGTGGTACATGAGTATCCTGAGAATCAACAAGCAAAAATTTCAAGTCATAAAAATGTTAGTATAGAGATAGTTACATAAAATGTAACACATCCAAGCAATAGAAGGGTGTGTCCTATTTTTTAAAAAAATAAGTGTTCTTGAAGACTGGTAACAAGAAGTCAGAACTAATGGCATAAAATGAGGAAAAAGCAAGATTTACAGTATATGCACATGGGACTTCCGGTCAAGATGGCGGAGTAGGTAAATGCTGTGCTCACTTCCTCCTGTGACCACCTCAAAATTATCAGAACCACCACATGTGAGAACCACCTGAATACTAGCTGAACAGAAGTCCCATAAAGAAGGCTATACAGAAACTACCTTGAGACTGGTAGGAGGGGTGGAGACATAGAACAGGCTGGTCACACACCCGCATGTGGTGGTTAAAAATCAAGAGGGATACTTAGCCCTGGAGGACCCCCTAAGGGGCAAGGTGTCCCAGCCCCACGCCGGGCTCCCCATCCCAGGCACCAGTGCCAGTAAAGGAGTCCCCATAATCTCTGGCCATGAAAACCAGCAGAGATTGCATCTAAAACAAAGGGTTGAGGGAGCCTGAGAACACAGCTCTTAAAGGGTAAGCACACAGACTCACAAAATCACTGGCTTGACACCCCAGTGCAGGAGCAGCAGCTCAAGAAATACCAGAGTCACGTGGGGAGGAACTAAATTGACTAACTTCAGGGCGGGGCTGGAGGGAGGCATCAGGCCAACTCTCCAGGGATGGAAGTGCTGGCAGATGCCATTGTTCTCTGTTCTTTTTTTGAGCTTTTCTTC